AGATCGCGTACTAATTCCAGAGGAAATTGAAAATAATAGCATCTACGCATGACCTTCTAACAAAAAAGGAAATTACCACGGCGCGCCAGAAAGTTCCAAGCCTGGTCGCACACTACAGCATGCTGACCTCTATTTGTGGATGCTCCAACTCATGAAATGTCAACCGAAATTCTGATCTGCGTCTTCGATGAAAAAAATACATAAACAAGTTCGTAAGGCGAACTATCGCGCGACATAATCCCAAGATATTCCAGTCAACCCAGGGTTCCCGCCCTTAAACATGCTTTTTTCGGCCACTTGCAAAATCTTCACTCTTTAAAAAATGACTACTTATGTGGTCTTCATTTTCCCTACTAACTTTTGATGTCCTTCTACGTTCAGACATATTATATAGAAACCGTGCACACATCTATTTTTTCCTTGCGCTTAATCGGTAGCAAATCACGTCTTCTCGGAGGTTTATATTTTAAGAAAGAGATTTTTCTCTTCTAAAAAGTTTCTAGTTAAGAAATTTTTAAGACCGTGAAATTTCTACCCTTAAAGCATCGTATATGTCCATTTATCAATATTGCTTATGAAGTATACAGCGTGATCCAAATCCACTGCAAAATTTTACGGGGCCAATATGACATCCTCTTAATAGCATATATAAGTGTGTGATGTTACTTACAAAAGAGGTACATAGCTTGTAGCTTCGGAATTTTGAATATACTTGCGGCGACGGGCCAGGTTCAAAATTATTCAGGAATTGAAAAGGTTTTTGGAACCAAAAGATGCGCTTCGTTAAAGCACAAAATTTGAAAAAGATGTAATTTGCTACCAACCCAACCCAAAAGATATTTTTATGCAAGGTTTCTGTAAAATTTGTTTGGGCATATATAGGCACCAAAAATCAATGCGAAAAATCCATACTACACAAGTAGTCACTTCCTACGGAGTATAGATTTTTCAAGCTGTCAGAATGAAGCTTACGCATAGTCTTGCATCCTGACGTGACTGAATTATTATTTGATTATGATACGCCACAGTTCATCTTACGATCCTACTTAAGGAAATCTTCCTAATCGAAGGTACTCTTCGGTATTTCGGTTAGCAGTCCATGAGTTAGCACCTCTACCGTATTTCCAGCTGCCTGTGAGTGAAGTCATCTAGGCAGTGACCATCATGACCTTGGTTTTCTGTGCTTTTGTCAATGTGGTTATACCTCCCAGGAAGGATAGACAAACAATCGATTAACGGCGGTGCATATCTTAAAGTGTTTGTTGAATGCATTATGTCATGTTGACCTAAACTTAATTACTACCTTTCGTTTATATTAAAACCCATCTCATTCTCACCTACTCTCAAATCTCTCTATCAGCGTTCTGTGTACCAAACTCTAAGTGAGTATAGATACCTCTTCTCCTCAATAAGAAGTGGCAGACCATTCAGCATAGTTGATATCGTCCAGCGTCCAGATAAAACAGAACATACGGACATCAGGCTATACGATGTGTTAGTAGAGCATTAGAGTAGGAACCTCGTCCGTACTAAAAGCAACCTCGCGCTAAAGTTCAGGAAGATTAAGGTTAGGGTTAAGGTTGACATTCGGGTTAGGGTTAGAACGCGGAAATAGATGCCCTTCCTGGAGTTCCGTTTAAGGGCACCTACACTATGTGGACTTCTATTCCCCGTCTTACCGGGTGGCCTTTTGAACCGCTAATAAGTTTCCATAATCGCATACTTTTCGTACAGAAATATATCCTCTCTTCAAGTGAGCAATTTAAAAATATAAGTTACGAAAATTCCGCAGTTGTGATGCTTTTTTCGTAATTTATAGAAAGATAAGTAGATCTGAGAAGCATCGGAAACCCATTTGAGGTGCGCATGCTACTTGTACAGACACCAGTGTGCGGATACCCAAAAACATGTCAATCTCCCGTAATGCAATCCCATTTAAGAAAGTTTATTCGTCAGATAACGCAGCTAAGTATTCCGATCTGCATATCGCGCGTTAAGGCGAGATCGGTATTTAGACAGCTAAGGATTAAATGTTTCCCTAGTAAGAACCGAGGGTCGGAATAAAGTTAGTTTATTATGGGTATACGCTCTGAGGGATACGTATGTTTTTTTGTTAAAAGACTGAATGATAAGAAAATGTCCACAGCTTCCCTTCTTTTTCCCGATACAGGTTAAACCGGTTTTTAAGAATCAAAAGGATTTAGTGTCTTTTAAAGAGAAAATATAGGGACACTTTCCTTCTAGTATATTTCCGCGAACGCCAATGAAAACGGAAATAGAAAAATATGATTAAATATGAGAACACTAAATCCGCAATCACAATAGTGTCTTCTTTTGCCTAGTTAAAATGGATTTCTATGAAATTTTAAAACATGAACCTTTTATATTCCTCGCGCCTAAATAAGAATTCGGGATTACAACAAAACCTATGAACCATTACTAAGCAAATTTTCAGGCGCTTATTCTAATTTACCCAGCAACGGTGGTTCAAATCTTGAGAAATATTTCCGGAAGTTCTTGGATGCATTTTTATATTGATAAAATGGCTTAACGTGACCTGCAGCCATGATATCTATGGATAACAAACCTATACTAATTTATAAGCCATGGCATGCCAACCCTCTGCCATATATCATCGCTGTCTATGAAGTTGGATTTGGCAAAAAGCTCCACCTCGGTTTTAACCGTTTTCTCTCAGCGTTTTTCTGTGTTGGTATGAAATGAATTGTTCATCCTGAATCAAACTAACTCTTGTAGGAGCTCGTTTTCATTTCATATTTTATGCCTTAAATGTGACTGATTCCGACTTTTTATAGGTTGCACAATTGTTCGGCTTTTGGGAGCAAAACTTCCTACGTCCCTTCTCTTTCATAAGCTTCTTCTAAATCACTTAAATAATTTATTTGATGGTGTTTTTAGAGGGAGTTAGGTAAACAAGTAGACCAAGTGAAAATCTACAGTATTTGTGCCTTTTGCAGATGATCAAACCTTTTCACACTCAACTGGGGTCTCGAGAATTCGCTATGTCATGCGCTACTTTATGCTGAAGTATTAAAGTAGGTTCACTTAGTAACTCT